TAGAGGGCAGTTGCGGAATGCGGTAATTACACAGTCCATTTGTTCTTGTAACAGTGTACGATTGCACGACTTCAGCCAACCTTGGAGAATATATTGCATTTCATTTTGGCGTAATTGTGGTACTGGCACGAACAGCCCATCCTCCTTGATGATTGCCTGCGAATAACAAAATTACTCCCTCTAATTATCACATCCGGGAAGAAAAACTCATTTGATGAACTCCAACGCCTTGAGTTTCGGTGTTAAGATTGAATAATGCGTTACCTGTAATAACGGGAAACAGGTATGTTCATCCTCTGGTAAAGTGGAAACTATCAATTTCACATTTGGTGGCAGCTGTCTTGGTAGCCAAGTGAGTTGTCTTGCACCATCTACAAATTGATATTGACATACAAAAAAATGTAAGTAGTAGGAAATATTGTGAAATATCTCGATCGAGCTCAGTGAGATCAGTGATAAAGATACCATGTACAAATAACTGGGCCAATGAGTATTTTGTGATTGTCATTTCACTTGAACTTCACTTACCATGTGGATTCAGCTGGTCCAGTGAATCCAGAAAGATAACAATTTTCTGATCATCTTTCGTCAGAGTAAGACATCTTTGAAAAAAATCTTTCAACTCCTTCGTACTCTAAAATCGAAGACATATTTTGTTTATAATTGACGAAATGTAATTTATTTATTTTTACTTTTTCTTACATGTGTAAGTGAGTGGTTATTATAGTTTTATTCACTGGTCATATTATGATTTGTTTTCTTTTACGGCTCTGATATACTTTACATAAACAAATACTGCTGTTTAATATTCACAAAGAGCATGTTCATAAATACTACTCCATTGTTATTTAATTTATAAGGTGTCTATTTGTCCGAATATAAAACAAGGATGTTGGCTATGTGAAAAAAAAAATTACCTCAGGAATCTGGGCATCCTCTCCGCGTACTTTACAAATCTGCTGACATAAACTAGTCAGCAATCGATATATCATGGTACTGTCTGGAGTAGTTCCCAGGAACCTGAATAATTGTAAACATGGTTTATATGAGCATGAGAAGTAGTATATATATGAATAAGAAGTAGTATAT